GGGACCCCACTTTGGGTCCCGACCCCAACTTTGGGAAACACTGCCCTAGATTATTCCATAATCTTATTCATTTGATTGAAGTACACCGCTCCTTCAAACTAGTTCGAAATTTTGGTTTCACAAATGTCTCTATCCCCTATCCCCCCTATTTGTTGTGACAACTTTCTCTTTTGACAAAATGTAGTTGAATATTTAAAGGTAATATGTTTTGTGAGCCCCATACATATTCTGTAAAATACTATAATCAACTAAATCATAGAATTTTAATAATTTCAACTGATAAATTAGTATGTTTGACGGGTGACTGTAATGTTTTCTTGTAATTCTTATAGCTCTTTTCTGTAAAACAAGAATAGGGTTTTGTAATTGTTTAACATGTTTTCCCCCAGACTTCAGTACAYTAAATTAAGTGTGGAACAATTATTGCAGTAATCTTTATCATTGAATAACTCCCTCACTTTGTACAGTACTGCAATAGACATTGCTAATTTTAAATAATTTATGTGAGGATTCCATGTCAGCTTTTCATCAATGATGACACCCAGAAACTTCACCTCACTGACTCTGCAAATCTCAACARCATTAACTTTGAATGGAACATCAATAGTTCTCTTTCTATTACTAAATATCATGTAGTTAGTTTTATCCATATGATAATTGATTAAGTTTGAACCAAGTTTGTATTTGTACAAATTCTGTCTGCATTATCTCCAGCTGTCTTTACCCAAACAAAAACTTGTAGTATCATCTGCAAATAAAAAAGATTTAAAAAAGCCCTGACATTCTTACCAAGTCAGTCACTTAATAACAACTCAAAGCACAGCTAATTCAAAACAAAATCAAAAACTATAAGCAGTTGAAATCCACTGACCATTAAATCCAAAAAAAATTATGTGGGGCTGATTTTTGTTTTCTGTGGTTTAGATTTCCTCAATGGAGAAAAACCTAAAGAACATCGAGGAGGAGAACAAACAGATAGAAAAGAGGAATGAAGCTTTGTTTCTGGAGCTCTCTGGTTTGAGTCAGGCTTTAATCCACAGCTTGGCCAACATCCGTCTGCCCACCATGGTGAGTGTAAAGAATGTGGCTTTTATGAAAAAGGTGCAGTGCTCCTCTTACATTTTTGTTTTTAATATTATTGACGAAAACAGAAACATCTGTCACTTTTTCACAGAAATTAGAAGCTGGTTCAGCTTTGTTGAATCCAAAATTGCTAACATATAGAAAAAATCAAAGTGTACTGTATTTATTCAGTGATGTTCCGGAAACCTTCACTGTTTTATTAACAGTTCTGTTTGTGTGCAGCAGGAGCCAGTGTCAGAGCAGAACTTCGACAGTTATGTGGACACCCTGACCCACATGTTTACGAACAAAGACTGCTACCAGAACCCTGAGAACCGGGCTCTACTGGAGTCCATCAACCAGGCGGTGAAGGGCATTGAGGTGTGAAGGCTGGAAGCTAAGATGGGAATGGCACCAATATTTCTTTCTTTTTCCTTTAGATATTGTACGTGATGAAATGCCCTGAACAGGATTTCCCTCCTCTTTTTTCATTAGTTTCCTGTTTGCATGCTGCTGTATGACAGTCAGAACAGACGTGGTTGTTAAACAAAGTGTTACTGCTGAGGGGTGAGTAAGCYTGCAGTAACCAGTCCGAATTAGTTAGATAACATATCTCATCTTTACTCTATAAAGATTTTACATCCACATAGTGTTGTTGCACCTCCATAACCACTTTGTACCTTCATTTTTACTATTGATGTGAAACTATTTAAGTCTTGTGCAAATGTCGGTTTAATAACCAAATCATGTCTGCTGTAATAACTGAACTATTTATTAACCATGGTTTGTCTTTAGTTCTATTCAAATCAGAAACCATTTGAACCAATAATCAGTTCGAGGGGTCTATATTTCCCCTGCACTGCTGAACAAAGAGGAACTATTTTAAGAAGTCGAGTATGAATTTTTTATAGGTTTTATTATTTATTTAAAGTACCAGGATTTTTTTATGTGTAAATGTTTTGTAACAAACAGTTTTTAAATAATTTTGTAAAGATATTTTCTGCTTTTATTTTTATGATTTTTTTTTTATTTCCCCAAACTATTTTGAGTACACTGCAAAACAGTAGGGAAAAACAAGTGCACATTTTTGGTATTTATTTGGTAATAAGAAACACAGTGATGGTGAATATTTATTTTTTATTGTCTATGTGATGATGATGTTTATGATGATGATGATGATGATGATGATGATGATGATGATGATGATGATGATGATGACGATGATGATGATGGTTGTAAACCAATTAGTCTTTAAGGTGCTTCTGAAATAAAAGTGAACCCACAGAACATTTGGGCTGGACTATTTTATTTCTAACGTAATAAAAGGCCTAGCATTTCTTGAAGGAGCACATTTTGCGTTACCTCGCAATACCTTTTGCATTCCCTCGCAAAAGTAGTTTATCACTGTTGTGCCTGCCGGTTTATTAAAAAACTCACATGTTTACCATTAGCGAGTTAGCCTACTGCTTTAATTCAGCTTCAGAATGAATATATCACACAGCCACGCATGGAAGTATGTCATATGCAGGTATTTTAACAGTTCAGCCACGCAACATCAATATCAATTCAACAAACTTGTGGCGACACATCCTGTTTTGGTAGCCTGATATTTTAAAATAAAAGTATGATTTAATTCAGATCATATTCAAAACAAACTTTTGCGTGGGAACGCAAAAGGGAAAAAAAATCCCCCATGTCCCCTCGCGGGCTCCTTACTTTTCAGCTTCAAAATACCTTTGAGGAAATGTATTTTCAGATGCCAAGTACACTGCATCATAGTGCACGTGCAAACCCCCCCCACCACCCCCACGTACTAAAATGGAAAGAACAAAAGGGGAAGGAGGTTCTTAAAGAGACAAAGTCCAATTTCAAGGCATTTAGAAGAGGAAGGGATGAGAAGATAAGTTTATTTTCTATTTAAACAAAAAAAAATTTTAATAACAGCTAAAGGTGACATAGATACTTTATTACGATATAGTATTTAAACGTATGCCTGAGAAACACATAATATTGCCCCTTTAAGACCACCATGATACAGCGGGTAAAATAAGTATTGAACATGTCAACATTTTTCTCAGTAAATATATTACTAGAGGTGCTAATGACATGAAATTTTCACCAGATGTCGGTAACAACCCAAGTGATCCATACATACAAAGAAATCAAACCATAAATGTCCAGAAATTGTTATGATCCTGCTCCTGTCTGCCTCTGCCCCTCCCATCCTGTTCCTCAGTCTGCTCATTGC